AGAGAAAAACCCCTAAAAATGAATCTGATGCCTTTTCATAATTTCTTACAAAATTCACTGAGTACAAAATCTAGTATCACTAAAATAGGCTCTGAATGGAGTATCTAATAATTTAAACTGAGTCCATGTAGGATAAATGGGAGGAGTAGGAGAAAAGAAGACAAAAATGTCAAGAGAAATTTGGCATTTTGAAATTATACCTGTAGGCGATTTTCAAAAAAACCCCATTATCCCAAAGTAACCTTTTCCCTAACACCCTTAGGACCATTCTGACCAAAATAATAAGTCATGGTTTTCATGTGAAGGATAGGAGCTCAACAAGTACCCAAGAAGGTAAGCAGTCCTTCTTGAGGAGTTATTGCCTCCTAACTCCCCAATAGGATAACTCAAGATATAACTTTGTCCCTTCAGCTTCCCTGTTCATGAAATAAATGTGCTTTAAGTAAGAAAATATATTCTACCACAATTAAAACAGCAGTCTCATCCTTTCTTTCTGAAAGAGCAGGTTTTTTCCCCCTGAAATACATTAACTACCTGCCTATTCCTTCCTAAAAATTTAAAAATTATATTAACATTTTTAAATCGTTTCCACATTTTTGCTACTACAAATAATGTTGCAACAGATAAAACTATATTTTTGTTATTTTGAACTAAAGCATCTATCAATTTCTAGACATAGATGATTAAAAGTGGGAGTATTAGGACAAAGTATATTATGATGGTCAATGGCAGATTCCTTTCCAACAAAGATTCTAGGCACTAACACATGTTTTTTCAGACTGCATGAAGAATGCCTTTCTAATAATAGAGTATTTCATGGACTATAAGCACATGAAATTTGGAAAGTCTTCTAAAGAATAAGAAATCAATATTTGTTTTTCTGTGGATCTTCTCTAATTCCCTGTGCCACCATCAAAGGAGAAAAGCAACAGTGCTTCCCACATAATGTATCTTCCTCTTGCTAAACTGATTTATGTTTCTTTTCCCCTTCTAATTTGCTTTTCACCTTATTCCATCATTCTATAACAAGACATATTCTAATATTTATGAATACAAGTTTCTCACTTGTGAGAACGTTTGTCACATAATTCCACTACAGAGAACAGAAAAGGAAGATATTTGCCTAGCCAAATGTCCCCATAATAGGTAATTTTTTAAAATACTGTTTTTCTTTCATTCTTGACCATAGGAAAAAAAGCTAAATTCCTTCAAGAAAGGGCCTCTCCCACCACTTTCCCAAGCAAGTAGTTTGGTATATTTATTAATTAAGACTGTAGACCAAATAAATTTAAAAAGAGAAAAAGCAAAACTATAGTTTTAAAAAAAGAAAGACCAGCTTGCTCTGTTTGGGATCTGAATGCTGTGAATGCTAGCTCTACCACTTACCAGTTGTATGACCTGGGGACAAGATACTTCTTTTTATTTTTTTAAGACAGTCTCTTTCCATGTGGCCCAGGCAGGCCTCAAACTCACAATTCTCCTGCCTCAGCTTCCCTGAGCACTGGGATTATAGGTATGCACCACCATGCCCAGCTCAGACATTTAACTTCTTTGAATACCCACTTCCTAATCTATAAAATGGGTATTAAAATAGTTCTCATTTTGTAGGTTATTGTAATGGATATGTGTGTGTGTGTGTGTGTGTGTTTGTGCGCGCACGTGCGAGTGTGAGCACATAAATCCCTAGAATGGTACCTGAACAGACCAATGTAAATGTTAGCTGTTGATCTGAGCCACATTCTCCACCAGCCACTCTGGGGAACGCACTTCCAAAAGGAAGTAGGATGTACAGAGTCCAAAGTTGACCTGCCCTTTAACTCCACATGAAACAGAACACATACCTTGCTCAAAGAGACAGCTATTAGTTCTTCTTCCTTTCATGTGTGTAGGCCATTATCACTTACCAAGTTCAGTAGGGAAATGGCCCAACCCTGCTCTGGAGGAGCCTCTGGTCTAGTGAGCTGAGGAGAGGAAAAAGCATTTTCTACCTACTTCTGAAAAAAAAGATCTATGCATTCAGTTTTGGGGCCAGGACTTGAGAAACTTGAAGAATTTACATGGGAAAATAAATTTAGAGTAGAAATAAGCTTGGGGTATGAGTAGACTAGTTATTCATTCTTTTAAGAGAATACATGACTCTAAAGAACAGCAGCCACTCGTGAATATAAACAATGGATGTCTTATTGCAAAACAACCAGAGTTCTACATTTAAAAAAACAATCACTTTTTTATGTGTTTTCTTGACATCCAACTTACTGCTTACGGCTGGAAATTGTACAACCACTTTTAAAAAAAATTACTTTCCTCCCCCCACCCCCCACCGCCTTTTTTTAAATTGTTGTGCTGGATGGGGGTACATTGTGGCATTTACAAAAGTTTACTAACATTACCTTTTTATGATTCAGAATCATCACTAATTTGATCAAACCTCTTCCCTTCATTAATGGTTTCCTTTACCATGGCCACCCTTATTAAAGGCCCTTGGTTCACCCCTCCTGTCTTCCCTGACAGGAACCCCTGATTTCCCCAGGTTCATCCTGCAATGTACTGCCAGCTTCATCTCTCTGCAACTGTGCTTCTACAAAGGAAGCTTTCTCCTGCTTCATTCTGCTCACAAGGCCTTCCTTCATCTGCCTCAACACACACACACACACACACACACGCACGCACACACACCACACGCATTCATTCTAGGAGGAAATCTCCCCCAGGGCCTTAGTTCCAGGTATCATGTCTCATGAGGTACCTGTCAAAATTCACTGTCTACCATACTCCCACAAGCTCTTTAGATTTTAGCAACTATCCTCTGGACTTTTTCACTCCTACTTCTTTATTACTGTCATCTGGCATCCTATAATGTCCACACATACCCAGTGACCAATGTCTTATTCACCCTTTAGTACCAGCTCAAATACCCACCCTCCTCTACCAAGGCTTTACTCATTGCAGAGGAAGCAGTCCCATTTTTCTCCATGTAGCTCATACCTGTCCTCTGTAACTGACACTTATCACACACTATCCTGTGCCTCAGAAAGAACACTGCTTTGTGAGAAGCACCTTGAAGGCAGAAATTGTGACATTCACAGAGGATCCTACTACTGTGGCTTCTCAACAGAACAGTTGCTCAATAACTTTATACTGAATTTGATCAGTGACTACTGTGCATTGGGTAAATTTCTACACACCAATGATTCTGGGCACAGAAGCTTTCATATGACTGTCCAAAGAACAGGGGCTTAGATTTCCAATAAAAAATACAACATAACTTTTATGATAAGGACTTGTTGGGAAATATACAATAAAGACTACGTAACTCATGATTTTGCTGAAATGTATTTACCTTTTAATTGATTGAACATCAGTAAAAAATTAGAAAAGGAAAGATTTAAGTTTCTTAAAATGTTACTTAATTGATTCTTATATGCAGTCACTAGTCAAAGGTTTTAAGAAGATGACACTTTTCAGTATAAAGAAAACACTTCGAATTATCAAATGAAGACTCCATAACTATATGCAAGGTAAGGAATCAGTAGCATAAATTTTTTTAAAAGTCTTCTATTTTACTTAAGTACCACTGACATTGCCATACTACAAATGTTTGTATCAGGAATGGCATAGAAAGAATGAACTGGTTTATAGATTAAAAATGTGTCAATTATTTCATAACCGAATGTCAAACAGAAAAACTGCCTGAATAGAAGTCTATCACATCATACCACATTTGGCCTGCATCTAATGGCATATATGTCATCTATCATTAAAGGCCTTTTTATATATAGGTCAAGGTTGCTGGGGCTTGGTGTTTTGTATCTTACCGTTTAAAGAATGCTCTAAATTCTAGCTTTTTAACTTTTTAATCTATAGGGAAGGAAAACTAAAACTTCCTATAAACTCAGATTAATGCCTGCTAAAGCATGGAAGAAAGAAAAACTAAAACCTTCCTCCTACTATAAAAACAAAATAGTGTGGCCTCTGTTTCTTTTCTGATAAGAGTCTTAAATACCAAACAGTTAACTGCATAATAACATTTACTGGCAGTCAGGCAGCCTGCTTAGCAGATATATAAAGCAGGTAAAAGGAGAAAAAGTTAATTTCTTGGCTGAATGATTCCATCGGTAGCTATAGGGCAAACCTGAAAGTCTTTTAGTAAAGTAGCAGTTGATTCTTCTATCAATCTGTAGCACACATACTCTTCTAAGGAAAGCATTAAATATGAAAATCATATCCCGTTATCATCTGTTTCCAGCTTTCAGCCCAGTAAGCTTTTCTTAATGAATGCTGCAGCCTAAGGAACAAGCATGCTGTTGGCTTTTCTGAATAATGGAGTGATGCGACCATTTTTGCTTATTACAATATCGACTGGCTGAGGGGGTTTCACACATAGTCACAAGTGACTACTCTTGCCAGCATGCTCCAAGTTATTACAAGATGTTTTTAGACATTTCATCTAAAAGAGCTTTACTGCTTTTAGTGAAGAAAACATCTATGGTCTTGAACAGAATCATTTATATGGAGATATGCAGACGGATTAGAAGCCTGCGTTACAGCAGATATATAGCAGAATTTATTTAAGTATTCCTTGCCAGTCTTTTTGTCTACTGCTTAGATATGCAATCCTTACTTTCCACTTTCTCTATGAAAAGGTTCAAATGTACAAAATTATATATACAATGGAAAGAATCAAAATGTCATATCTAGTTTACTTTTCACTTAAAATATTTCTCAAACTAAGAAAAAGTAGCTACATTTAGGAAAACACAATTTTACTTACTAACAACACTGAGGTTTTCTTTGGAAACTAAATCTTAATCCCAAAGTGACTGCTTTTCAGCAAATTTAATGAAATTAAGATATTAAACCAATATTCTAAGCAAAAGTGTTTAAATAATAATTTAAGGTTTAATAAAAAATTATTATAATGATTTCATTTAAAATAATATTTTAAAATGTGAACATTTCAGAAACCATGTGAAACAAAGTTTATCATTTTAATTTATTACCTTTTCTCTGTCTTCATCTTTCAGTTCACCTTTTGTTTCCAGGTTATCTTTTGAGAGTAACTGCATCTTCTTAATTTGAGTCTCATATTGAATCTAAATATGAACAAAGTTTGATTTTGTGGTGGATATTACAACTAGACCTTATCCATATCTTGCCACCTTTATAACATAAAAGGAACAGGGAAGTAGAAAGCTAATGCTGCCAAAAATTCAATTTATCTTAGAAAATAGATAATTTAACAAATAACATATGAAAAGTTGAATTCTATAAAATATTATTTACGTTTTAAATTAAAACAAAGCTTGGTGGATTTTTACTTAGTCTATCATCTATTTAGGGGCTAATACTTAATACATACACATAAAACAGCTTGACACTTTAATTAAGCTATCATGAGAATCTAGTTACTTGATTATGAAAGTAAAACATTAGAAAATATTTCCTTTGAAAAGTTTTGTCCTAAATGAAGGTAAAAAAATTCATTTTTCTAGGAATAAAAATGTATACCATAGACAGTCATCAGTATCAAAAGAATCAAGTTTGCTCTGGCACTAATAACTACATAATAATGTGTGCACATTATTATCATACTATAATTGATGAAAATGATTCAGTCATAAAATGACTTTTTCTTAAATGCAAGGCATGAAAAAATACTTTGATTTAGTACATTTGTACTCAAAGCTTTAAAAAGTTGGCAACTATAGTCCATCACAAATAAGTATCAGAACATTTTCTAAATTAGGCAGTTATGCATGCAATTAAAAATGCACCAATGAGATAATCAAATTAGAATGGTATTTCCTTAGTTGTCAGTCTCAATGTGAAATAGGCCTGATCTTACACACAAAAAACACATAGGCAAATAGCCTCTAAAACTGAGTTGTTTCCCTCAAAACATTTTTAAAGTTATTATACATTTTTAATAATTAGTTAGGAAGGGTTTCCTCCCCTCTAGCAGAATGTTATTACTATCACAGAGGACAGTAATGATCTACATAGATACCTAGCCAAAGTTTTACAAGGCTAGCAAAAGTGATAAAATAATAAACTAAGAAGATAGAGAAATAAGGAAATTACGAAGACAAAATTTGTATCTCTCAGTTCTCTTATTCCTTAAATTTAGAGATGCTTAATTTTTAAGTCCAAGAGCTTTAAATAGGCATACTTTACAGATTTTAAGAGAAAATATCTTTAAAAAGGGATGGGAGATTAAAATATAAAAACATAATTAAAGATTAAACAAAAATTCTTTTTTCCTGTGACTCTAAATGTTTTCTTCTGTTCTTTGAGATCAGTGGACATTCTACATGTTCTGGTTTTTATGGGATCACTTTGGAGCCATAACTTCTAAAGACAGAGACACTTTCTCATAGAAACATGAGAGTTTTACTCAACACATTTTGGTGAACCAAAATGAAAGTAGTAACTGCATAAGAGTTTCCTAAAGAACAGCAAGACCACCTAGCAAGAAAAGTATCTTCAAAAGCCTGATGTAGATTGTTCTCAGTATATCTGAAACATTTAGTGAATTATCTGTATTTTTTCTAAATTACTGACACAAAGAAAAGCTGTGCAATGTATTTTCAAATTAGAATGGAACTGATAAATTGATAATATAAGCTGTAACTGCAACCTCAAGGAGAAAGAATCACCACCTAAAAATACTTTGTCCTCTTTCTTTGTCCTTCATTTTTACATAAGACACTTCCCAATTATCCATCAGATCCACCTCCTGAATGCTGGAGAGCAAGGGTTTTCAACTGTGCTCTGCAGTGCCACAGGCTTACTGGTCCCACTTCATTTCTAACTGCATTTAAGCCAACGATTCTAGTACTTTTTAAAGTTTTTTTTTTTTTAAGTTTCAAAAATACTGATGAATCTTTCAAAGACTTTCCCAGGTAATAAAACATCTGAGACAATATCAGATGTTCGCATTTGCATCTCCATCTCTAACAGTCTTTCATGTTTCATAATTTCTTCTCTGGTCAGCCTCCCTGTGTATTTTTTATTTCCACAATACATCAGGGTGTGGAATGCATCCCTTTTCTCTGGTGCAGACTCCTGTCCCTAGTTCCTTATTGTCAACGTGGTCAAGACTTTTCCTGGTCAGATTTTCTGCTTCAGAAGTCAAACAACTCATTCCCCAGCAGCATCACCTGGTCCAGAGCCCCTGTAAGGATAATTTCCTCATTGTCTGCTCCAATCTAGGAAGAGAGTGTGTGTATGCGTATGTGCGCGTGTGTGTGTTGCTGTTTTTGCAGCTCTGGGGTTTGAACTCAGGGACTTACACTTGCTAGACAGGCACTCTTCCTGCTTGAGCCATTCTGCCAGGCTCCCTTTTTCTTAATGTAATTTTAAAAAAATTATTGTTGTACTGGGGGCATATTGTGACATTTATAAAAGTTCTTAAAATATATATTATAGTTAATTCACCTCCTCCATTATTCTCCTTTACCAGCCCCCCCTGCCACTACTCCCATTCCTGGAACAGTTTTTCAGCAGGTCTCATTTTTCCATTTTCATATATGGGTACATAATATTTCTACCATATTCAACCTCCTACACACTTATAATATATATATACATGGAAATGTCACAATGAAACTCCCTGTATAGCTATCTTAAACAAACAAAATATCTTCTTTCAAAAATGGAGAACAGGAAGGTAAAACAGATCACATCTGGGGGCTGGTACTAGTGGGAAAGGGGAGGATATAAGGAAATGTTTTAATAAACCCAAGAATATTGAGTTAACCCACATGCTAATTCGTTCTGTCCATTACCATATTGTTTCATGACACTAGCTTGATGTGACCACCTAGGTTGAAGAAGACTTTCCCAGTCACTTCCTCACTATGCACAAGCAATTTACTTCAGCTAAATCACTGGGATCTGTTAACCATGAGCTGGGGTTATAGGAAGAGAAGATGAAGGTTCTTGAAGATGTTTCAGATCTCTGGGATAACTCTCCAAGCTTATAATATGCCCATTAGCATTATGATTCCTTCTGTATCTTCACATTCACTCTTTCAATAACTTTCAATACCTTCCATCAATAACTGTTTGCCTGATGATGCCACCAGTAATTTTTTTCCCCTCAAGTTTTCTTTTTTCACTGGTTTCCAGGATTGCAAAGCTAAGTCTCAGTTATAGACTAAGGAAATAGTTGAACAGAATAGATGTTTAAGATCAACTGGCCCTGTCTCCTCATATTATGGTTGAAGAAATGGGCACAGAGAGTTATATAAATTGTCTGATTTGATTCTTGGGTGAATATGAGATGAGACTAATATTCACAGTCTTTTGTTTTCTCTTCCCTTATTTTTTCCAATATAGTGGACTTTTACCAAAATATATGAGATAGCATTTGCTTATTCAACTAACACATATTAATGGGCAGAACACTCTCGTTGCTTAAAAAGAATGGAATTTGCTACAGATTTTGTTCTTCAGGAGTCTGAAGACCATGCCCTGCCCACAGGATCTGTCATAATACTTAGCAGGAATTTGAATGGAAGCTCTAAAGATTGTTCTCCTCAAATTTTAACCCTTTTCAGCACACATAACCTAATGAGAGAATCTTCTAGGAGAATCACATTGGGGTGTTTTTGTTTGTTCGTTCAGTTTTTTGTTTGTTTGTTTTTTGGTGCTACTGGGGTTTGAACTCAGGACTTTGTGCTTGCTAGGCAGGCACTCTACCACTTGAGCCACACCTCTAGCCCTTTTGCTCTGGTAATTCTGGAGATAAGGTCTCACTTTTCTCCCACACTGGCTTGTGACCACAATCCTTCTATTTTACACTTCCTATGATTGCTGGGATGTGTACTACCACATCCTTTTTTTCTTTCCATTGATGTGGGGTCTAGCAAACTTGCCCAGGCTGCACTGAAACCATGATCCTCCTTGTTTCAACCTCCCAAGTAGCTAGGATTACAGGCATGAGCCATCAGCTGGCTGAGAATCACATGTCTAAGTAATGATACTCTATCTTCAGAATGCCTCTGCTATTAAATACAAATGCTTCCTAGGAAGGTATTGAATAAGGTATAAACAACACCACATTATTTCTCACATAGATAGATGTTCATGGCTCCTAAGAGAATGAGACAAAAAAAAAATGGAAGAATTAACTTTTAGTCAAAGGGGGAGTCTTAGTGCTTACTGTGAGTCATAGTCTGATTCAGTTACTGAGAGTATTGAAATAGTAACACAAGGAAATTATAGTGAAGTGGAATAATAGGCACATAAACAATTACAATACCATGAAGGAAGTGCTGAGATAATTATGACACAGACCTAAAACAGGGAAGGCGGAGAAAGGACTTCTAGTTGAAGGAGGTGTGAGGTAATGTGGAGCTTTCAAAGAAATGAAATTTTTTCAGGAGGTTTAAAGTAATGTAGGAGTGAGCGAGTGAGTAAGTGTGTGTGTGTCAGAGAGAAAGAGAGAATAAGGGGGTGAAGGAGGAATGGTAAAAGGGAGCATGCACATGTGTAGGAGATATAGAAAAATAGTGGGAAGACGTAGAGGTGGAGGAGACAGGGATATCAGGAGAAAAAGTGGGGAACTGGGGATAAGGAAAGTCAGGGAGACAGGAATAGGAAGGGAAAAAGATGGGAGGGAGAGATGGAGATGGAGGGAGAAAATGAATGGGACAAGTCAGGGAGATATAGGAGAGAAAATGTACATGTCTATGCACTTGTGTTTGTATATATGTGGGCAAGCTGAAAGAGAGACAGAGAGAGAAAGAAAGAGAGAGACACTGCATGTGTGTGTATATACATGCATGTACTGGGATGGTATCATAAGGTTAAGGCTGGGAGTACAAAACAGTGTCTGGGCTTTGCTCTGAATTGCCCTGGACAGCTTTTCAGGCTGAGGAGAGATATAACCAGAAGATGACTCTTGTCCAGCCTGGGGACCTTCCCTGAATGTCCTGATATGGCAGTTCCATGCCTGGTACTGTTGCCATGAGGGAGGCTATGCAGATGTTGGCAATGTTCTACACATGTCTCGCAAACCTTTCTGAGTGCTCTCAAGTTTCAGAATCTGGATGTCTGTGCCTAGGGCTCCTCAGAACTGGGGAAGCTGTTCTGTCCACTACACTGAATGGTTATTCCTCATCACTTGTACCTTTGCCCATCAGTTCTCAATTCAAGCCACTCAGGAGCCACTATACATATATCCCAAATGCTTCAACCACTTGCCAGTTTCCTTGTGTGATTAAGCTCCACCTTATGTACTAGACCTCTCACCTCCACACTTGCCTACTGATGCTCCTCCATCTCCCAAATAAACCACTTATAGTTGAATCATTTTCTTAGTCTGGTTTAGTCAGAACCCAGACAAGAATAAAGGGTGCCTGAGAAAAACTGTTCTAAGTTAGGACCAACTGGGGCTCTTCTACAAAAGCAGCTAATTCTGGGAGCAGGGGAGTAGGGCGAGGAAAGGCACAATCCTCACAGCATTAGTATTTACATTCTTGTACTGAGTTAAATTCAGCTCTTCATCTGATAAGTAGCAATACAGACTCAATATTACATTTTCAAAACTACGTAAGTGACCAATATTCTTAAAAAGCCTTAGAAACTATTATAGGCCCATAGACAATTCATAAAATTATAAAATGATTCATAAAATTATAAAATGATTCATAAAATCATGAGAAACTCTTTGTCAAGTTTTAGCCTATTTTAAAAGATTTTAACATTACAAATATAGTAAGGTGGGACCAGCCCATCTCTACACAGAAAGTGTAATCTACTTAGCATAATTTGGGTTAAATCCCGACCTCTCTAACACTGCTTCATCTTGTTTCACTCTCTAGAATTATTCTACCAGTTTGAAGTTCACATACATTAACTATAGTCTATTCGAGAGGAAATATACATTGCATTTTTGGGGTATTGGGGTAATGTGCTACAAACAACTTTCTCCTAAGATTTACTCAATGTCACTCAACAAAGAAGGTAAAGAGCTGATATCTGAGTGAGGAAGCATTAAGAGGTTCTGTCACAGGTGGTAATCACTAAGGTTACCACTGGACACTGACACAAAAGGAAAAAACAGAAAGAAATCAGAAGATATGAAAGATCAACATCCCCTATGCTGAACCTCTGTTTACTGCACAGCCTGCTAAACTAATGGTATCACTGGCTGGGTTTCTGACATCATTTGCTGAGCTCATGGGCACATGGCAAGTCCTCAGGGTAACTTCTAAACTACAGTTCTGCATGGAACTCAGATCCTTCTCAATTGTAACTACATGATTTACTCTTTTATGCAGTAAAATGTTTTAAAAAGGGATTTCTTATCCAAAATTCAAAAAAAAGCAACACCTATATAATTTTTGAACATTTTTTAAAATAATGCTTTCCATATTCCTATATTTTGTCATTCTTTTACTTAAAATGGTTCCCTATGCTGATATTTTTTAGTAGCTTACTATACACGGTTTTTAAAAAAAAAAATATATATATATATATATATATACCCTATCATATACAACTAATGCTCTCAAAATAAAGATATTTATAAAAGTTGATTTTTTTCACGTTCCTTCCTCCTACATTTGGTTATAAAAAGAAATCAATAATTAAAGACTGGATATGAAAATGTTTGGAATTTTTCTATTATTCCCTTTATTCTACTAGGGAAGCAAAACTGGCTATGTCCACCACTTTTATTTTCTGCATGAAATCTCTGAAAAGTTCACAATGTAGATAATGACAACTGTTTCTGAGTACTTCCAAGAAACAAAACTGGAGCGCTGTAGCAAAAACTTGCTATGGCTTGAGCACAGATAACCCCCAAAGCTTAGTTTCTAAATACCCTTCCCCATCTAAGGCAACTTTAACTCTTTGGAGAAAAGGCTAATTCTATGTCAGAAGCAGAGAAAATACACGGCAAACCTGAAATATACTGTCATGCCCTAAAGCAAAGGAGGCTCAGAATTAATGGGGTCATGTCCAAAGATATAGAAGCTAATCTAAAAAAAATCACAACGGCTGGGAGTGTAGCTCAGTGGCAGAGCGTGAACTTAGCACGCGCAAGGCCCTAGTTTCAATCCCCAGCACCCTAAAAAATAAAAGGATTTCCATTTACCATGTTTGGCCAATGGAATAACAAAAAATAATTACTTTAATTGATAGTATACTTGCTCAATAAAAATTCACAAGTCCTTCATGATATTCAAAAAAGAGACAGAGAAGGGAGGGGGAGGAAAATGCTCTTTGTTACAGAATAAAACCAGTAAACAGAAGATTAAAAAAAATCGCAATTTCACAACCTCTATTATATTAACTGATTCAGGCAAGGTTCATTAACAGATCCCCAAACCACTAGGTTAAAAGGCTAGTGAAGAACACGATAGTCCCATGATGTCAAATCATTACGCTACAGATTATTTACTAATTTTCAAAGGGGAACAAGGTACTTTAAAATAGTAACATCTAGAGATAACCATCTTTAACCAAAGACTGCCATCTTTAACCAAAGTCTGGATCAAAATCTGTCTTACATCAGATGCCTCCTTGATGGAATGCCATGAAAAGTGTACAACAGCTGTGAATATCTTAACAGACTAAAATTAACTGCAACAACTTCAACATCATAAGCCACATTTTAAGGGTTCAATAGCTATCTATGGCTAGTAGCTACCATATTAGACACCATCAGCATAGATACAGAATACTTCCATCACTCCAGACCTTCACTTCAGAAAGCTGTATTGAACAGTGCTGATATCAACTACATTTCTAGCTTACAGGAAATATAGCAGGATGCTAAGCCAGTAAATGATAACTCAAATTCAGAATGTCAACTGGCCTGCCTTCCTCAAAATACCTAAAGTCATGGAAAAATAAAGGAATGATAGAGACTTAAAAGTCACAATAACTAATAACACAAAAAAACAAATAATATGTGAACCCTAGTAGGCTCATGCTCTGGAAACATAAGATACCTTGAGAGAACTAAGAAAATATGAATAATGGGCTGGATATTAAATGATTTTATGGATTTGTTATTAATTTTCTTAGGAATGATAATGGCCTTATGATTATATAGACTGTTCTTATGTTCAGGAGATCCATGCTCAAATGCCCAGAAGAGAAGCATCATGGTATATGCAGCAGACTGTCAATAGCTCAGGAGGGAAAAAAACATATGCACACAAAAAGCAAATAAAGCAAAATATTTATAACTGCTGCATCTAAATGGAGAACACACGTGTTCGCTATACTTCATATTATTGTTATACTGTGGATACAGTGTGACATTTACAAAAGTACTTACAATATATCTTAGTTAAATTCACCACCTCCATCATTCTCCTTTATCCTCTCTTCCCCCTTCCTTTTTCTGTATATTTGAAATTTTGCAGTAAATTTACACTAGGGAAAAACTGCTAGAGCAAAAAGTGTGTGTGGGGTGGGAGGGGGAGAGAAATACTGAAGTCAACTTATAACCAGTGTTCAGCTCCAGTGTAAAATGATAAGGAAGAAGAGCTAGCTCCTGGTCTTCCACACTTTGCATAATTTGTGGAGCAGCAGTAGCCAAGTACTGGAGGGGAATTAGATGCCAGAATCAGAGGGCTTGAAGAGCACAGGCCAGTTGCATGAAGGTGAACTCCTTGAGTCATTTCTAGTCTTAGTCCTCTCCCAAGGCACTGCTTGATAGAAAGCAAGGAGCCCAGACACAAAAAAGGACTCTGAAAAAGAGGGAAGTAGTTTTAAGAAAAAATCCTAATGTGACTCAAATTGAATCACTCGGCCAACAAATACCATGCATCAGACCTGTACCTGGTACTGGCTAGTGATCTTGCCTGTGTTTTAGATATCCCATGAGTTTTCAAACTACAGTAGTATTATTAGAAAATGCTATTTCAATACCTTTGATCAAAGTTAGCCACATGGTAATCCACAAAGAAAGTGATACTTAATGCTATGTACAAACAACTGAACACTGACTGCTGCTAATCTGAAAAAGATTTTTAAAAAACATAGTACAAAACAAGATGTCACCTTCAGTTTTTGAAGAGTCTCGGTATTTGTGGTAAAGTGTCCAACTCGATCTTGGACATGCTCAAACTGCATTAAATATTCTTGGTTTCGTAGACGAGCCCTCCTTTCAGATTCACATATTTCCTCCAGGTATTTCTTTAGTTTTACATATTTCAGCTTAACTCTATAAAAATAAAAGATTTTTTAACAATGGAGTTAGACTTTGACAAACCTACGAAGAATTTTCTTTAACAAAACTGTTTATGAAACAATGAAATCTAGGTATGTTACTCAAACCCAAAGGTGGTATATACATTTTTAGAGTGAGAAAATTAATGTGCTATCACTAGGTATCATATTGGTTACATCATGGCATAACCCTCTTGAGAAATGTACACAATATCACATAACATTCACACAGTAAAGATTTTTATGGTTTTATTTCTTAAAATTAAATGGGATTTCAAGAATAGTGTCTATGTGGTCATGTTCAGATGCATAGCCCATGAGCATTCCTATATGAAAGTTATAAAATTATTTGCTCATATGGACACAGAGTCAAACTGTAAACTACAATCCATAAAATTAAGAAATTTTAAAATCTAAAATACGAAAAAGTTCTCATTTAGATAATATAAAAATATTTGTTCAATATTGCAAGTTACTAAAATACTTTATAATATATGGACTATAACTTTACTCAAACTATGAGAAAACCTCTAGAGACTCTTATCCAAAGTGTAATATCAAAAGACACACCAGATAGTTCAAAGTGCACAGCCTACTCTTGGGGTACAACACTTTTAACTTTAACCCTTCTTCACAAGTATTTAAATCATAAAAGAGTACTTATTATACAGCATTTATATCATTGGCTTGAAAAATTATTCAAGCATCAAGTAAAATAAGTTTAAAAAGCCACAAAGATATTCATTATCGAACACAGATATACAAAAATATTGGAGAGTTCTAAAATGAATCAACAGCAGACCTTAAGGCTCTAATTCTAGGCCAACAATTTTCATTTTCAAGAAATTCTTTATTGTGCTAATAATCCTGTGCTTTGACTGTGGCTGACTATCTCCATTTTTACTTCTGAACCAAAAAAACTGTAAGACTGGTTTTATTTGCTGCCCATGTCTGCATTTTTGACACAAATGATAGTAATGGAGGTAGAGCCTAACAGACTATCTTTCATATTCAGATACTTAGTAAAGCTGCTCATGTTGTCCACTGTCTACCCAGCATAAGTAACTATGCCTTCTCCATCCAAATTCTACTCTCATTTCTACCTTCAAAGCTGGTCACATAAATCATTCACGTATCCATGCAGTCATATATTCAAATACAAAAGCTATTCAGCTAGTCATCAGGGAAAACAAGTAAGTAAATGCAGTGTGATGAATACTATGAGGGAAATGAAATGAACTTTTACATATCAGGCAACCTAACTTAGTTGAAAAGAGCTGGGAGGCCATCCCAGTAGAAATAATTTTTCAGCTGAGACCTGAAAGATGGATAAAAGTTACCAAAACTGGGAAAAACAAGATAAAGAAATGAGGGGTAAACATTCTGAAAGTTCAAAGGCAATAAATATGAAAAATAATAAGAATATTGATAAAACACTAATAAATAATAAATCATTGGCTCTTACTCCAGGTCAGATGCTGTTTTAAGGCTGTATCTACATTAATTCATTGAGTGCTCATAACTATCATTATTTGTCTCTGACAGTGACTGCTGGGGGAACCTGGATGGAAGTAGCCATCTTATTTAATTTGGGTTTTATCCTACAAGCAATCTAAGAACACCTATTTTTAGCAAATCAATTCCAGGAAACAATTAAGGCTGTGAAAGAGGAACACACTTAGCCAACTTATAATTTAGTAAAGGTCCCATCCTTCTCTGACACTCACTCCTGCCACCTTATGCCTAGAAGCTGCCCAAGAATAAGGTGTATGAAAATTCTATACCCTGTCTTCTGCCCCTTTTGCCACTGGTGAGAAAAAAAGTCAGCTGCTATGGATCTCATCAGACTTGGGCCCACTTTTGAGGCCGTCATATCCTTGATATTGCTATTTCTTCCAGAGAAAAGACAAGCTATTTCTTTTCTCTTTTAGAGCTGCTAGAGACATAAAACTGTCTACCCTGACTGATTTCTTGGAAATATACTAAATTTTAAAACCAAAGAATGATTTTGAAGACAAAGAAATAAATGGACTTAATGGTTAATTTGGTTTTAAATATTCTTGCCCTCTTTCTCTTCTGGATGAGCTCTTTTCATTTTTCACTCTTAGTGTGTCATCAATAAATAAAAAATTTAATGCTATCATAGCCAGAAATTCTTCACATAAATAATATTGGAGGCAATGCCATATGTTTGGCTTAAGGACAAAGTTCAGCTTTTATAAAATATAAATTAAAATATTAAAATTATATTCTTTACATTCAAAAGAGAGCAAAAGATAAAAAAAGAGTGTATAATAAAAATGTCTATTCCTAATATTATAGTAAGTAACCTAAAAAAAGATAACATATATATTGTCTACTGCTTATAATTTTAATAGTAATTTTCATATGAGTAAATGAGGCACCAGGTAACTCTGCCTGCATCAGTTTGTTGAAAGATCAACTACAGTAACTATAAATCTTAATCATTATAGAAGATGAATGTTTAAATTATAACAAAAAAAGATTATATACTGTGCTTATTTTAAAATATTTTAGCAAAACCTATTCCTGAAATAACACAAATACCAAGTAATGAAAATAATTTTAATAGTGATTGTATTAAGTTGTAATATTTACCTCAAATTTGTATACATTAGAAATAAAGATAATGATAAAAGAAATAGTCCAACTACAGAATTTATGACATAATATTAGGGATTAAATTTTGATTAACATATACAAATTGGCTTGAAAACTGTCCCACTATCATTTCTTACTTGCATATATGAGACTGACTATGTTCATAAAGTTTCTTTTCCAGGTCCAATCTCTTCTTTTCACTATAACAAAAAAAAGAAAACATCTTATTAATATTACATTGATAAGTAGTAAGCAGATGAATTTAGACCATAATGTCCTTCGAAATCATATGTTGTGAGAATGAGTCTCTCATCTCTGTAAGAAGCAGAAAATGCCATATGTATTTGAAATAAAAACTTACTAATCACAAGGAAAGTCTAAAAAACAAAATGGACATAAATGAAATTAATAGCCAGGTGTAGTGGTGCATGCACTCGGAAGGGTAAGGCAGAAGGATTATGAGTTAGAGGCCAGCCTGGACTACATAGAGAGTTCCAGACCAAGTGAGACCCTACCCAAAAAGTCAACAACAACAGACTGGTAAGAAATTTCTGATGAGCCAGGCACTGTTTTAGGCCTGGAGTCTAACATGGTGAACAAACTAGCCAAAGGCACTATCCTCAGGCAGGTGACATTCCAGTGATAGGACAGACAGTACACAAGAGAAATCTATAAAATAAAATATGGCCAGTTTTCTGAGCTGGTGGCATTTGAGTGATAGACTTATACATGCTTCCACAAATCCATTTGGACTGAAGATGGCTGGCTTGCTCTGCTTCCATCATCAGACAAATCTCCATTTAACCAAAATTCTTTTTATGGGAAAATGGAGTCCAAAATTTAAACACAGAATCTTTGCTTGGGGAACACACCTATTCTTTAGTTGGGATGTGCCTATGCTAAAAAGGAAAATATAAAAACACACATTTTAACCAACAGCTTCATATTGACGTTTACTTTTTCATTAGTAAGACTGGACTAAGAGGTAAAAGGAATAGTTACCACATTAGAAATTTTTATTGAAAACTTTGAAGGTTTCATAATCAATTGGGTGCTTAGGTTATGAAAAATGAGCACCTGATAGTGCAGGCATTTATCCTTAAATTACAAGGACAGAAAGACCTTTAAACACATCTACAATCCTGTGCCCCAAGATAACGTTTCCCTTTTGTGGTTTCTGCCAAAAAATGAACAACAGGAGTACCGGCAAATGGATCCTCTTTCCTCCCACGTCCCTCCTCCCTCCTCCTCTTCTTCCTCTTCCTCCTCCTTCTTCAGATATACGTTGGGGATTTTAGGAGTGATGGGCCATCATATCTGCAGTTCTCAAATGGTTCAGAAAAAAACTAATGCTTTTAGATGGGAAGACGGCAAATGAAAATGAAAATGGAAGAAAATGTTAGCAGTTAAGGAATATGGATGAGGAGAGTATTGGTGTCTTTTTCCACATCTGCAATTTTTCTATAAGCTTGAACTTATTTTATAATAATTTTTAAAATTAACCTATGACATCTAATGAAAAAGACCACAGTCTCTTTGGAATGCCATCACTTCCCAAATAGCAAGTTCTTTTTAATAATGAATGTAAGGGCTGGGAATAGCTCAAGTGGTAGAGCAAGCATGAGGACCTGAGTTCAAACCCCAGAACCACCAAAATAATAACGATGACTATAAAATGTGTTTGTTCCTGGTTCTCTCTTCAGTGGATGCTGACACCTGATGGTCACACTTCTTCTCTATCAGAACACTTAATACACTAAAACACCACAATCAAACATCTCTTGGCCATCTATTCTACACAAAATGGTGCTAATCTTGTTAATTCTTCATTCCCCAGGCCATTTTCTAGCCCCTTCATTCATGTTACAGCATCTCTGAATGCTAAGTTCTTCCTATGTATTTTAAATGTAAGACTTAAAAAACAGACATGTATCTTAATGGGGTGGCTTATTAACAGGATTACCTTACAGTGACAACACATTATATCTCTATTTCAGAATCTTTGAAACATGCAACTCTGGAATATTTACATAGTAAATGTTGCATCACCTGTGCCCCTCATCTGGATCTTTCAGTTTTGCACAGATGAATGGTTCTTATAGGGCTCATTTTTCAACTTTTAAGCCACTTGTTATTCTGTTTTTTATCTCAGTACAATATTCCATCATTCACAGCTTTATTCAACTGTCAATTTCTAGACCATTATGATATGTCACTCTGAATCAATGTTGACATTGAAAAAACTGGGACTAGTTAATGTACCTTGTAAAGGATGTTTTATATACAATAATTGTAAGAGTCAATTCCACTTATATGTTTCTACCATGTTTATGGACACTACACAAACCGTAACAAGTCACTCCATTAGACTCTTTTTAGATTCAATTATTGACTTTCACCACAATGCAGAGAAAACAGTATATAGACATAGAAAAACATTCAGACTAAAATTACATCTATGTGTGAATACAGCTAAGATGATTTGGGCTCAAAATATGAGTTACATGGGGAAAAGGCCCAGTTATTAGATCAACTTACATTTCAACGACCAGTTATAAAAGGGCTGAGAAACAGTGAGTTGTGTTTTTTGCTATTGTTGTTTTAAATCTCCTACTTTCCAGAAGTTTCTGGATTGGTAAAGTATTTGAGACTACCACCTAGGTTGCAATCTTCAAAATGATTATGGAATTTTAGGAGACTAATCCCTTTGGTCACTGTGGTTAAAGGCCTATTAATCTAGTAGAGAAAAAAAAATGTAGCCTTATTTCACATATTTGCCACAGCCCCTCATTTCTGATGAAGAACCAAGGTTCAAAAAGGCCCAAAGAACTTCTCAAGGTCCTACAATTGATCATGGGTTAGAAACCACATTTTCATGTTCTTACTGTAGCTTTTTCTGTATCTAAAGTTATTTGCCTCTACCTTGTGTGTAATATGCATTAATTAGAGTTAGTTATGGAGCCTTAAAATGAAAAATGAATATACATAGCAACAGATTTGTACTAACCTGAAAATAAAACAAATCTTCAAAGCAAAACCATGAATAGGCCATAAAATTGAACTCAAATTTTTTATATAATTTCAACAGCCTCACCTTGCTTAATAATTAAAGCAGTAAGTGTTAAACATAAAGTGGGTAATCATTACAGTAATTGTACCATAAGGACTATAAACAGCCAGGTGTTCCTAGCACAGGAGGCAAAAATAATTCATGATTAACTTAGTTCAGAAAGAATGCCATTTCAAGCAGTAACATTTTAAGATAGGTCTTTGACTAAGAGATACAAATAGCTAAAGGCCTGGGGAAACTAAGCCACTCTTCAAACAGAACAGACACTAACCCAAAAGAACTTAGAGTGTAATAAAACAAAAAGTCCTTGTTTTTAATGATCAGGAATAGGCTGACATTTGGACACACTTTTCCTGGTTGACTAGAAAAAATCATTATTTAGTGACAATATGTAGCCACTGAGTTCTATGTAAAATGTTCATGTCTTTAGACACTAGTTAGCTGACACTAGGATTTCTTCTGTAAATTAACAAATATTCAAGCACCTCCTCCACCACAGGCACTCTACTGTGAGCTAAAGATCCAATTAGAATTGGTTTCTGCCCTCCTAGAAATCTAAGTCCAGGGAAAGAGTAAGTCACTTCAAGTCCCCTTCCCTCCCCCAGGGAGTTCTGTAAGAATGCTGAGGGGGAGAAAGTTAGGGAACAGAATAGGACAGGGAAGGCTCTGCAGGGAATGTTTTTTTTTTTTTTAATTAGAAATGAGGAGGTCCCTGGGTAGGTGAGTGACAGCAAAAAAGAAGACAAAATATCATGAGCACAATTAAGGAGGCCTGTTGTAGATACTTTATAATTGACAAATTAAATCTTGCATAAGATGAATGCAATTCCTTTTCAAAATCCCTTACCTCTGCTTTCTTTACATGTAATTGCGGTACTGTTATCATTTTAGAATTGTCACATACACAGTAATACTGTTCACTAGAATGATTTTGTAACTTTTAACACTCATTAAATGTTTTGTTTATCAAGAGATCCAAAAATTTCCTTTCTTGTCAACTAATGAGATTTCTAACTCTAATTAATTTAGCAGCTAAATAAGAGTTTCAACAACTTATCTTTCATGTGGTTATTTATAGTCAATTGCTTTATAATATTCTCTCTTTAGGCACTTTTAGTTCTAGTTGTTTTCAGTCATTCTCATCTTTTATGTCTTAATCAAAGGCATTAAGAACCCTCTAGAGGCTGAACTTCTCTTACTGGAAATTTCATCCCTTCGATGGAAATCTAGCCAGCCCCAGACACCAATTCCTGCATCTGAATAGGGCATATGCTTGACAAACACACTCTCTCCCGCCTACGCTCTGGGACCTGTCACCAGTGAAGCAGCACAGCTGTCAAGGTGGGATGACAATTTGAAGAGACAGCGAGGACAGGGAGTGTAGAGTGGGGACTGGAGAAACTCGCAAGGCTTGATGGTGAATGACAGGCAGAAGAACTCCCACTCTCACTTCTAGGTTAATTCAAACACGCAGCTGCATCGTCCAGCTGGGGACCTGGTTTTTGCTGCTGTAAGGGGCTGTCTCACCTCTCTCGGCGCCCACCTCCCATACAAGGGGGCATTTGTGTAAACTTTGTACTCTAGGCCCCATCCATAGCTTGCGGGGCGTCGCAGGCTGCTCCCGGGCCCTGGTGAACCACGGGCGGGGTCGGGGGAAGGAATAGGGGACCTGGCCATCAGAAGACCCTCAGTGGCGCGGGCTGCTGGCTCCCCGCCCCCACCCCCAGTGGCCATACCTGTCTCGTAGCCCATTCTGGAGTTGGCCCACCCTCTCGTAGTATTCGGGGCTCGGCAGGGGCGCCGAGGAGGTGGGAACCCGGCTCATGCTGCCGCCTCAGCCATGGTGCCCTTTCCGCACCGCCTCAGGGCAGCCGGTGGGCTGTAGTTGCCCGAGGAGACCGCCCCACCATGCACCGCGGGTAAACACAACCCCCGCCGGTTGCAGGGGGCGGGCGGAGGCGGGGCGCCGTAGAGGGGCGGGCCGGAGGCGGGGCGTCGCGGAGGGGCGGGGCGTCGCGGAGGGGCGGGGCGGGGGCCTGTAAACAGCACGGAGAGGCGTGGCTTGGTGACCGCCCGGCCGGCCGCTTCCCATTGGTCGGCGAGTGGCCTTGAGCGCCAAGTACCCTACCCATTCCTCTCCGCCCCACAGCTGCGTCTCCCGGCTCCTTGTCGTTCAGAACCTGCACAAAATGCATTCATTTTACACTGTGCCATCTCTCGCTTCCTTCCTTTCCTTCTTTCTTGTCGAGTGCTACCATGCACTGTGGTATACTTGTTTTCCTGCCAGCATTTAAAACACCGCAAAAAAGACAGATCCCTCAGTTCTAAACAGCTGTGCTCAGCCCGGCAGTAGAACCACACCTTACTTGAAAATCCCTGCTGACCCTGAGAACGTATTTAATGCTCCAGGTGCCATCATCCTGCCTAGGGAGGGAAAGGTTCTTAACTAGTGGCTTGTGAAGCAGACATTTGTTTATGTAAACAGCGCAGACTTCCTGTAGGATCATCAAACAGGGCCTAGGGAGCCAGACTGCCTGGGCTCAAATCCCCTCTTCCACCTCCGAACTGTGACCATGGGTTAGAAACCCTTGGTCCTAGCCCTTCCTTTCCCTTCGGTAGAAACCCTACGGAAGCTGAGGTTTCTCCGTATGTAAAATGGTGAGGCTGTTACAGCAGGATTAATTTAGCATTAAATTAGTTAATATGTGTTGGCGTTTATAAGAAGGCTTAGCACATAATAAGCATCGTTTTTATCGTCGTCATCATCAACGTAGTGAAAAGCTTCCTGAAGAAAGGCAACTATATTCTACAGGGCAGGAAAAAAAGGAGATGTAGTTTCTTTAGTCCCTTATTCTTCACTTCTTTTTGTTTCTTTTCAAAGGCAACCATTTCACTTATGTGCGAAGTGTGACTTAAACTAGTAAATTGATCATTAGTAAAAGCAACAGAACACTCAGTGGTCAGCAATATAAAATTACGACTTACTTGGCCTTCCTTTCACACTTGTGGGGTCTAGTAGGACAACAGTACCAATGAAGACCTTCATAACTACCTGCCTAAATATTAAAAGTTAGAAACCAATATAATAAATTGTAGGTAAAATAGGTTCTCTCCTCCTATCTTGACCAATCTGCCCTCATAAGAACTTGGAAATCCAGGGTAGAATTTAGTTCTCTGACCCCTTCCTTAGACGACTCCCTAATTTCCCACTTCACGCTCAGTCTTGCATCATGACAGGCCTCAACACACAGGCAAGGAATATGTGTGCCCTGCCTATTCCCCCAGTCTACAAATCCCTGATCTGTCCATGGAGCCCACAATAGCCTCCTCTTGGCCTAACGGTGAACACCAGGGATGGTTCCTTACATGAGTGACCCAGGAAAGTGATCTTTGAAAGCCTTGGAAAGCAGCTTGGGTCTCTTTGAGCAAGAATGTCAGGGTGCTGGGTGCTGAATACCTGGACTGTGTTGTAGAAGGAAATGTGTGTGAGCTCCCAGGAGGTATGCCCCCTGGCTCTGGGATCTCCTTTCCTTGTGGGAAGTGGCCACAGAAGGGTCAAAACAGACTCTAAGATACAAAAGCTAGGGCAGGATCCAGGGCCCTTTGGACTACTAGGTTTTTTATTTAGTCACTATATCAAATTGATCCAATGATACTGTACAGTGGTTTATTTGATTGATTTTAGTGTAACCAAAATTTTACTACAGTACAACCCTGGCAAAAAACAAAAGCATTAAAAGGATATTTTATTTAAACTCACCCCCTCCCAGATTAGCTTTTGAAGGAAAAAAGTATTCCCAATAATTAATATAACTATCCTATAATTATTTCCAGCAAATAGCACAGAGTAAGCAGATGAGGCAGTCATTTAGCATCCCAGTTTTTTATTAGGCCATTTTAGGAGAGCCTAAAATTAAATATAACCCAACAGTAAATAGATCATTCAAAAAAATTAAAATTTTCATTCTATGGTTGGTGACATATGACAAATGTAGATGGAGGACCCCCTTTATTAACTAACACATAACAAATGAAAGAAATATTTCTAGAGTATTAATGCTAAAATTATGCACTCTAAATGGTGACAGACTTTTATAAATTCAGGGTTCTTAGTTTTGAATATTTAATTTGGGAGAGCAATCTCTTTTAATATTTTTCTTCAATTCTATATTAGCAAAGGTGATTTCTATAAGTTGGTATGCATTTAGCCTACCTGGATCATGAGCTATGAAGTTTGTCTGGATGGTCAAGGCTTCCTATAAGTCCCAGAATGTCTTAGCTAGAGGTGAGAGGGAATTTAGCCTCAGCACTTTATTTGAAATAAGAGGAAAAAGTTTTAAGGCAGGTAAGTAAGGGAGTTGACCAAGCTGGTAATCTGTGCAATTATTAAAGTTCAAAATATGTGTCTCTAATTGCCCTATGCAGCAAAGGAAGTCAGTGTCTCAGCAAATTGAAAGTTCAATGGAAAACTTGGTTTTGGAAGTATGTTGAAATTAGAAATTTGCATTTTAAAATATCAAATTTTAATGTTATTTATTTATTGTTAAATTTAAAATGTTAAAATTTTAAATTTTAAAAATACTATATATATGTATATATATAAAATTTTTACAGTGCTGGATATTGAGTCCAAGCCCTTGTGCATGCTAGGCAAGTGCTACCACAGAGCCACCACTACTGCTACCACCACCTCTCTCTCTTTCTTTAACTAAGTCCTGTATATCTAAGTCAGAAATTAATTGGATATTGTATTAATTTCCTAGAGCTTTCATAGTAGAGTACCCCAAACTAGGTGGCTTAACCAATAGGATTTATTGTGTCACAGTTGTAAAGTTAGAAGTTCAAGATCAAGATATCTGCAGAGCTGGTTCCTTCTGAGAGCTGTGAGGAAGAATCTACTCCATTCCTCTCTCCTACTTGCTGGTGGTTTGCAGGCAATCTTTGGTGTTCCTTGGTTTGTAAATGCACTGCCCAACCTCTGCCTGGATTTTCAAATGGCATTCTCCCTGTGTGTGTGTCTCTCTCCAAATTTCCCCATTTTGTAAGGACGAGAATAATATTGGATTAAGGAACCAATCTTTCCAATATGACCTCATTTTAACTAATTACATTTGCAATGACCCTATTTCCAAATAAGGTCACACTCTGAAATACTGGGAGTTAGGACTTCAACATATGTTTTTTTTGGGGGGTACTATTCAACTTATAATAGATATGAATATAGGAAAATATTTCATTTTGTAATCACCATATAGCAATATTAGCCATTGTATCCAATGCCATTAGAAAATTTAGTTTGAAAGTGCAGTGAATCAAACATAGAGGCTTTAATGTCATATTTATCTGTGTATATAAATAACCCTTTCTGCCATTAAGCATTATGGCATTCTTATACTTGTATAAGAATTTATTGCCTCATTTTAACTAACATCAGTCTTTTGAGGGTATCAGAAGTTTAAGCAACTGGCCCACCATCACACTGCCAATGTGTTCCAGACAAGGTAATGGGAGTGACAGGATTCAGACACAGGCCTATTTCAATTCCAGAGTTTATCTCTCTTATTTTTCATTGCATGTCCTTGAAACTCATTAATTGACAGCTACTGAAAGTTTTATTTTCATTGTATGATGTAGAAGTATTCCATTTTCTATTGTTAATAATACAATACTACAGAGTTTTAAGGAAAAGAAATTTACTTTGAACTGTGATTCTAAAAACTCAAAGTCCAAAATCAGGTGGCCCCAGTGGTTTGGCTTCTGATAATTGCTTTCTTGCTGGCAGTGTCAGAAGTTAGCAGACAGTATCACATGGCAAGAGACAGGGAGCATGCATGGGTATGTGTGTCTCTTCTGGTCTTTCTTCTTAAAAAACACCTCATGGAGGCTCCACCATAATGATCTTATCTAATCCTAATCACTTCCCCAAGGTTCTAGTCCTAAATGCCATAGTAGGTTAAGTTTCTACTCTCTTAATACATCACAATGGGGATTAAATTTCAAGGGACAAACTCAAACCATAACCAAACAATAGCACATGATACGTGTAAAATACAGAGGGTTTTTACACATACATGATTTATTGCTTGGGGAATGATATGCATTTTCATAGAATGTGTTTTCCTACATGCTATGATATACTATGTGTTCAGCATTCTGTTTAATTTTCCCCCTTGACACAAGAAAGACTCCATTTTGCACCTTTTCTAGCAGTTATATGGGTCTATATGACCAAGACTGGCTAATGAAACATGACCAGAAGTGATGCAGCATTTCAAGGCCTGGCCCTAAAACATCCTAGGCAACCTTCCCAAGTTTATTATTAGTTGACCTGCTAGATGCAGAGGATCCAGTGGCAGACTCTTAAGCCCTGGAAGAAGAGTGAATGACTATAAAGAGCACAGGATAGTGAATTGAGCAAGAAATAAGCCCGTTTTTTAAGCCACTGGTATTTTGGGGCTGTTTGTTTCAGCAACTGGTGCTGCATATTCTGACTCATACACAAATACATCAAACTTTCTTTCCACAGAATTCTCAACAAGGATTTATATGACTATACAGATGGTAAGGGGGACAGCAAACCTAGAATGGGAAGATTAGTCAATGTCAAACTGGTGTGGTAACATACTCGTGTAATCTCAGTACTCTGGAAGCAGAAGTAGGAGGCCAAGTCAAGCACAGTTTGAGGCCAGTCTGGGCCACATAGTGAGACCCTGTCTCAAAAAGAATTAAAAAAAGAAAAAGAAAAAGAATAAAGAAACCAAAAAAAAAAAGTCAATGTCTAAGGAGAACAACTATAGTAAAGAACCACCTAGAATAGTTCTGTCCATTGGGATTTTCTGTAATAATGGAAATATCCTATTCAGCATTATCCAATATGGTGGCCACTAGCCACATATGGCTACTGAACAATTCAAGGTGGGACTGAAGATGCACATATGA